AGTAGTAGTAGTAGTAGTAGTAGTAGTAGTAGTAGTAGTAGTAGTAGTAGTAGTAGTAGTAGTAGTAATTGTTGTTGTTGTTGTTGTTGTTGTTGTTGTTGTTGTTGTTGTTGTATTACTCATCATTCGCCGGTGGTTTCGTGTAAGTTGCGCTACTCACAAAAGTTTGATTATTTCCGCCTTGGGATTCTTATGTTACCTCACCTGAGTCTCTTAGTTCTCGGTACATTTTTTTATTTTATTATTTATAAGTAGGTTGTCGAGACTATTATCACATTTCGTTTAGAGTGCTGAAGGACTGGCAGCTGAATTTTGCCGCAATCATATAATGAAATCTTACGTTTATATTGAATTTCACAGAGCCTTTCTTTCGAAATGGTATCCTCATCCAAGGTGGGCTGTAGTTTCAATTTCATCTGAAATGGTCTCGTCAGCACACCTAGCGCGATTCGAACCATGACAATGTGGTTCAAGTGCCGCTTAGGTGTTGATGAGGCCTAAACGAGGTCGAAACTGCAGTCCACCCTAAATGAGAACAACTTTTGGGAAAGCAAAGTTATGTGAAATTAAATTGAGACGTTAGTTCTACTTATATTATTGTGGGAAAATTCAACTACCAGTCCTTCACTACCTTAAACGAAATGGGGTGAAACATTGAAATTATATTTTTTTATTTTTTATTTTCCTTATTCTAAATCGGTATTTTAATCTTAGGTCTCTACTTTGCCGTTCAGTTTGTCTCCTTCATCTATTCTTATGTTTTATCTTCGAACCCAATTTCTACCCCTACCAACGTTTTCATCCTTCAGAGGGCAGATGATAACAGCAGCCACATCTACGAGACTCCGTACGCCTCGATCCACCTGGTTTCGGAAGACCCGTCGAGTTCAGGCGAACAGGACCAGCTTGGCCTGTTGGTCCCAGCAGCCGGCCAGCCCAAGGTTGGCATTTGCATGCCATTCTCATCGTTGACCTCCGACCCACGGCGGCTCCCCGAAGTTGGCCCACCCTCCTCCGTCCAATCCGCCTCCAACCTGCCCAGCATCGGTGCGTTAGCGACCGGCAAAGGGGTCTCTTTTGCTGCAGCCGCCGTGTACGAGCACGAGTTGATGCTGGCCCCCTCGGCTAGGCCGGACGGCCACAGCGACAACCACGGCCAGATAGGCCTGACTCGTGGATTCCCGCCTCTGGGCAGTGAGTCCAAACGACTGGCCGATCTGCCTCAGGATGGTACGCAGCAGTCGGCAGCCCCAAAGCCACAACATCCTCAGAGGCTGCAGCAACTGCATCACCAACGTCAGCATCAGAATCAGCACCAGAGGTTGGTGCTCCTGCAGGACGCTGTCTATCATCCCAACTTTACCTACAGGCCAAACTTCGAGACGATCGCCGACCAGTCTTGTTGTGGATCCCGTCCTCCTCGTCCACAACAGTCACAGCCACAGCCACAGCCACCTCCACCGCTCTTCTCACACACGTCATCGTCATCGCAACCTGCGGTCGCAGCAAATGCAGCTGATCTCGACCACTCGTTCCAGCCTCTCTATCAAGCCAAGCATCTGCACCACAGTCGACAGGTACACGAGAGGCAGGTGATCTGGTTGGATAGGGCCTCGGGGCACACGTCACAGCCGATGGAGTGGGTCGTAAAACGGAGGCCAGACGGCACGCGTTATATCACTCGTCGACCCGTAAGGTGAGAGCTAATTTTGTACAGCATTCCATCTGCCGGACTTAGTGTAACAATCAAAATGATACATTTTTCGTTTCGAGACTACCAGCAAATCAGTATTATGAGATGTATTAATCCTATTTCGTTTAGGGTGATGAAAGACTGGTAGTTAAGTT